AGATAGATAGATAGATAGATAGATAGATAGATAGATAGATAGATAGATAGATAGATAGATAGATAGATAGAGTCACAGATCTAAACCACAGCCTTTCAGGTCACAGGGTTTGTCAGGATTAAAACTCTAAGTCTGGCTACTACAGCTCAGTCTGCAGGGCGGTGTTACAGACCACTCAGGATGTGTGTTTGGACTGAAGTGAAGGATTTCATCCAGGCTGTGTGAGTGTGTGTGTGTGAAATCAGGTTGAGTTTCATGAGATTATTACAGTGTGTGCAATGTTTCAGAATGAATTCTTACGTGTCGGACATGGTGAAGACAACCACTGTGGGAGCGTGCTCATTGTGTGCATGTGTGTGTTCAGTCTTTCAGCTTTACTCGTCCAGCGTCAGTTCATCAGTCACAGCTGTCCCTCATCAGACCCCTTACTCATTCTCACATTCCACCAAGCCTGCAAATACATACATTTTCACTCACAGTGATTTTGTGCACGCAAACGGACACACGCACAGACACTCATGCTCCAATTTCAACAGACACATGGAGGGAAAAGTATTTTGGCTGCAACCCATATGTGGAAAATAGGATTTCCTCCAGCAGTAAGGATGGTGGAGACCTTAGAGGAATGGTATGGAGGGGTGTTGGGTGAAAGAAACTCCTAGATATCCTCCAGAACCAGAATTTTGGCTAAAGCTGTGAATCAATTACCCTTGCAGGAGACCAGCAACAGAAAGTGAAGCCCTGTTGCACTTTTTCTTTTATTGTTTCTTCTGAGCCACAACGACCAGCAACTTGGAGCTGACGCTAACTCTGAAAGGCAAACAGCACATGTGTTTGAGAATCGGACAGTTTGCGCCCATTTAATTACACAAGTGCTTTTTGTTTTTACTCTAAATGTTTGCATAAAACTTACTTGAAATGTGGGCAAACAGTGTTCGTTAAATCCTTTAGTAAATCAAACCTTGAATAGTCTGAGCAATAAAAGTACTTTTAAATGAAAATATATAATTTTGAAGAGTGCATTTCTGCACATGATGACATTCAGAAGTGACTGTGCTCTTGCTTTGACGTCTTTAAATATTTTGGAGAAGTGCAGAGACAGTGCCTGGCATGATATAACCAACTGTCATGATCTCCAGCTACATGCAGCATTTTTTTTTCCCCAAAGCCAAGATTTAACAGAGAAATTCAGTGCAGTCAGAAACAAACTGGCGCTGAATGTAGACCTGTTTTTTCCAAACACCAGTTTAATAACCTTTATTTATACAGCCCAGTTCTGGCACCCTGGTTTTGCTGGCTTGTATATGACACATTTATGTTTCTTGCCTTGTGTTTGTGGAAGGAATAGGTTAAAACACATTCATTCCTTCTTTTGCACAGTCAAATTGTCAGTGATTGCTTTGTCCACATAGACAATTTTTTAATAGCTCTTCTTGAATTTTATTGTTTATTTGCTAAAGTACAAAAAAAAAAACATGTTCCTGTAAAATATTTGGGAAATGAAAAGTAATCAAAAAGTTATTTTTATTGTAAAGCTGAGAAAATCTTTTGAAAAAATAAATAAGTCACACTGGATAAATAATGTCAATGCACATCACTGCAGATAAAAAAGATTCGAACTGTGAGACATTTTTTCTGATAAACACATTTAGGACAGAGCAGCTGTGCTCAGGACTGTTTTTCTAACCTTGTCTCCGTGTGACCATAATTACAAAATCATTATGAGACGTGTTCTCGTCTTAATGCTGAAAAACAGCTGTCTTCAGACTGACAGGCTTCCTAGAAACAGCAGTGAGTCTCGGGAGGCTTTCTAATTACAAACTATTCCACTTCAACATTCTCTGTCCCAACCACAAGGTAATTCTACGTCTTTTAGGTTAGCAAACAATTTAGGTGAACATTAGTTTTGTTCACCTAGAAAACTGATTATGTGTGTTTAGTAATTTGTTTACTCCACTAAAAACTTTTCATTCAACCTTTATTTATACAGGTTAGTCTCACTCAGTCACGAGGACTCATTTTCAAGAGAGACCTGTTTTAGACAGAAAACATTAAAAAATACAGACAACAATAATTCAACAAAAAAACAATTAAATTAAATAAAAGTAGACAATCTAATCAAGGTGCTATACAAAAACAAGGTCAATACTAAAAACAAGAACATATTTGCAAAGATTTTTCTATTGACATTATCAAATGTTTAAAATTCCTTAAGGAAATCAAATTGGACAGCTTCAGATCTTTTTGCAAGGTGTTCCAGGAAACAGGAGTAGAGTAAGAAAAGGACTTTTTTTTTTTTGCCACATTCAGTCTGCACTGAGCGAACGCTGCAGGTAATGATGGCCTGAGAGTGCACGCTGTAACTTTACTGATGACGTGACTAGTGGGAGGAGATATAAGAAGGCAGCAGACCAAGGAGTGATTTATAGATGAAAATGAACCAGTGTGAGAGCCTACGTGTAGATAATGATGACCAACTGACCAAGGAGTACAGAGTGATGGGTACGGTAGTTACAGCCAGTTATGAATTTTAGCGCGCCATGGTAGACATCAGCCAACATTTGCAAGGAGCTGGCATGGGCATTCATGTAAATAATGTCACCATAATCGATAGCTGGTAGGAAAGTTGCAGCTACAAGACGTTTCCTGGCATTCAGAGTTAAGCAAGATCTATTTCTGAAAAATAAACCCATTTCAATTTCATTTTCTTTATCACTCTTTCAACATGTGGTTAAAAGAGAGACGTGCATCAATTAAAATTCCCAGGTATTTGTAAGAATCCACAAACTCCATAGGAACAACAATCATGGATGAGATAGGAGGACTACTGGCACCAACTTTCTGTTTGACAACAACATCCTGTTGGTTTTTATCAACATTTAGCACTAGTTTGAGACTGAGTAAGTCTGACTGAATGATGCCAAATAGACTGAAGAAGCTGGAAAACCTTGGCAGCGGTGTCAGCTCTTAGCTCGGCAATAAACAACTGTATCGTCAGCATAGATGCAAGGAGACATCAGGAATGTTTTGACCTACATTATTTTACTTTACTACTGGCAGCATGATGGCTCAGTGGTTAGCACTGTTGCCTCACAGCAAGAAGGTCCTGGGTTCAATCCCTAGTTGGACCTGGGGCCTTTCTGTGTGGAGTTTGCATGTTCTTCTCGTGCTTGCGTGGGTTTTCTCTGGATACTCTGTTTTCCTCCCGCAGACAAAAAACATGCATTTTAGGCTGCTTTCAGGCCCAGGCCTCCCTTGCAAAAAAAAAAAATCTGTGATCTCAATGGGATTTGCCTGGTGAAATAAAGGTTAATTAAATTAAATTAAATTAAATATATATAAATTGGAAAAAGATTGGGTCCTAAAACTGAACCTTGTGGCACACCATTAGTGACCGCTAAATAGCTAGACAAAGTACCATGGTGTCGAACACATTGCCTCCAATTGAAAACAAAGTGGTAGACTGTGTTTCCGTCAATGAAAAGATCTCTTTGCACTTGGAAGCTATCTCTCTTTGAACACATCCTAAGCTGCATGCATGTGTATTACATTGTCCATTTTGCTTAAACTATATCTATGTTGTGCATGCAAAATTGCAAATCAAGCCAAGCACAGCTATCCAACTCCTGGACTTTTCATCAGAAAAATCTTACAACCACATGCACACACAAGCCAGCACTTCCTGTGTTTTTCAGCCTCTTGTAAATAAAATCACCCCGATGTGAGTAGCTCGACACCAACACGACCAAAACACAGAGTGAATTGTATCACGATAATGCTGCATGGAACGCCTTTCATTCGTTATCTGGAAGATGTATAAAAGCCAATCTTCAATGTTGTTGCTGGAGACATGCAGCTTTCCAGACACTTCCTTTGTTTCTTTCTCTTTATTTTGCAAATGTTATAGAAAAAAAAAGTGACGCCCACAAGAGCTGCATGTGTCTTACAAGCTTTCCTGTCACTTATCGCATCCGTCTTTGTTTCGGAGTTCAGAGAGTTTAGTTAAGTGCACAGAGAGACTCACTGCAACGTCTATTACCCCCAAAGTATTTCCCCATACGTCTTTGACCATTTAAGGAGTACATTTTTGTGGGGAGGAAAGTGGATTCAAATTGCCATGTGCTTTGGGGAAGTCTTAACTGGAAAGGTTTTCTTCATGGCTTGTTCTATTGCAGGGAAAACTGTGCAGTCATTATTCATGTTTCACACCACAGCTCCTTTTTCTGGCCATAAGTGAAGAGAGAGAGAGCGTCACAGTGTTTAAGAAGAAGATGGAGGCTGAAACCTGAGAGGAAAGCCCATTTCCTGTTTAGAGAAAACAAGAAGAAAGCGAGAAAGACCGAAAAATCACACCAGCACACTGACCTGTAAACACAAGCTTCCCCAGAGCCCCAAACTATTTGCTTTAATTTATCATCGTTTATTGTGAGACAGTAAGTGTCCCTGCCAAATCTGTGCACAGGGACTGCCAAATGTTTCACACGAGAAAGTTTGCTGGAACTTCTAAATGCGTAAAAGAATGTACGTGGAACAAATTCAAGCTGTGACGGCCGTCTTAGTGAATTACACCTTTGCCCCACATTTACCAAAACCGCACAGGATCCACATCCAAATTCATGCTGTTGTGATTTGACTCATGCAACAAAAGTCACTCCAGTTTAAGCTTCCAGTAAGACAAGTGTGGGCGATCACAATGAAAAACTACCTTCACTCATTGTGACTCATTTAGTGTGTTTGGTTACAATCAAAGTAAGGGGACGGCTATAATTTCTGCTGTTGGCAAGTTTGAAATGTCTACGAAGTCTTTTATGGACAAACTTTGAGGAAGCTCAGACCTTTCTCTTTTACTGCACAGCTCTGCATGCCAGGAATGTTTGAGAGGGGAAAAAAGACACAAGTAGGCAGATGGTTGGAGAGAGGGGAGAGGGAATACAGAAAAAAGAGGAAATTAATGTTAAACTTGTGGCTAAGTTAGAAACAGAAGAGCAGGGAAGCCACAGAGGATAGAAGTGGCAGAGGACAGAAAAGAAAAAGTCTATAGAAGCTGAAGGACAACAAACTTTTGAGCCACTGTGAATCAAAAAGGGATGAACTGTGCTGCACTTCTTTCATGATGGCTTAGCAAGAAAGTGACCTTTTTAAATAATATTACATATGCACAGTATTTTTTGTTTGTTTATGTGCCTGTTTGATTACCAACTGCTCATAAATAGTTTTTAGTGGAAAACTGTAGCAAACACTGCAGCTTGCAGCCATGTACCCTGTATCTTCTGATACATCCATGTACCATGTATCTTCTGATACATCCA